TGAATAATTTTAAACTTCTTTCCAAGCTTTCGACCTAAGCGGTCATCTTCAGGGAACACAAAACGTCTTTGTGTTCCCTCAAGATGACCGCTTAGGTCGAAAGCTTGGAAATAAGTTTAAAATTATTCATGGTTGATTAAACAAACTGCGTATAAAAATTGTTTATACTTATTGTCATCACTGAGACATCATGGGGGCAACATGTGAAAACAAGTTCAAATGTTTTTTCCTTCTACAATGCGTGGCTTGTCTCATTGTGGCGTCATTTTCTCTTTGATTAGTCATCAGAGAGGAGCTCTAGAGAAAACCTCTTAAACAAGAAAGAGGATCGTGTTTTTGGTGATAAAACACTAATCTCAGGTAAGAAGACACAGCGATCTCACAGTATTGTCATTAATTCAGTTTAATTTTTAAAATGAAAAAATGCTTTCGCTTACTTGATTTCTATGTAAAGAGTTAAAAAAGGCAAGTGGTTCTCGATTCATTCAAACCTTTGTAAAGAGGTTTTAATATTTCATTTCAAAATTCTTTATCTGTTAGATAATTAAAATCTTTCTTAAGGATGCGAACTCGACGATTTGATTTGACAAAAAGAGGCAAAATGCTTTTGACCAGTGCAGGTAGTTGTTGAACAGACAATAATGCCCCAATAATGTATTGTGCACATGCTTTTTTATACGTTTTAAGTAAAAATTGTACAGAAAATGAATACCTTTATTAATTTACTGTCACCAAAGGATTTATAAATCTTCATCATTATCCCTCATGAACGGACGTTGATACATCACGATTCAACATCAATTCTCCTTTACTTAATAACCTTGAAGTCAATAGATTTTGAAATCGATGTATTTGTTAAAGACTGATGTTTATATCCTTTAATTTTTCAGAATAATGAAGCCTTTGATGGTTGTGATGCTGATATGCGTGGCTGTTTTACCAGTCATCAAGTCAAAGACCAACAAAACTCCTGTGAGATACGTAAGTACTGTTAAAACGTTTATCAAAGTGATTTTTAGTTCACAATACGGTCAAAGTACGAGGGAAAATTTGCTCCAAATGGTGTATATTAATTAACACTACAAAACTAGGCCCATATCAATTGCTTTATTCAAAAGGAAATAAATTACCAATAACAATCTGACTTTTAATGAGAAAAAAATAATAATAACAGAATGACAATAATATAAATCAACTCGGGAAATCGACTATTTGATTCCAACACAGCTGATTGAAGAACATTATCTTTTGAACAATTCTGCAAAAGTGAATCAGTCTAAGAATTTATCTAAAAAGAGAATTCAGTAAAGTTTTGAGCATAAAAAAATAAGTTAAAGGGTGAGTCAGCTTTTAGAGAAAATGACTGTCCCATACRTGATCGAATTCGATTGGCTGCAGAAAAATGACGTCATGCAATTTGTTCATCAACCAATCAACTTTATCTACGTCGCTCAACAATAATTTTCAGGAAATAATGCATTYACCCGTTTTATTAGTTTATGTGTTGTTTTTAGTGTCGTTATACTTTTACTCAATATGTTCATGTTGAAGTTTAGTAAATTAAGAATCGAAACAAGGGCATTGTTAACAAATACGTAAAAATAATTTTGTACGATTTGTTGCAAAGTTTATCACGGATATATTGATATCGTTCTCTTCTTTCTACATGAGATACAAAAGTTGATTTATTATCTTTCAAAGAAATCTCTTCTTTGCAGTCAGGTTTTTCGTGTTTGTCGGGTCGTCCTGGTATACCCGGTCTACATGGTAAACCCGGTGCCCCTGGACGTGACGGTCGCGACGGACGTGAAGGTATACAAGGCAAACGAGGTCCCCGAGGATTCCAAGGATCTCCAGGATCACAAGGACGTCCCGGATCTCCTGGTAGTGACGGTAAACCCGGTGCTCGTGGACCCCAGGGGCTGAAGGGAGATGCTGGTCCAAAAGGAGACAAGGGAGATCGTGGACCAAGAGGTCTGTCATCTCATTCCAACTGGAAGGAATGTTCTTGGAAGAATATCGATGATGGCAAGGACAAAGGTCTGATCAAGGTTTGTACGTCATATGAAACAATTAGTATCTTGCTAGTTTTATAGATGTTGTTCAGGTTTTTAATTCAGTTCNTGATTGTCATTTTGATTTGTAACTGGTACATTTGTTCTTACAGGACTTTATTCAACACCTAACAGATGATGACAAAAACACATTGCTTGTGCGCTTGCTAACACAAGGACGTGGAAGTCTTCAATTTGCACGTGATATGCTCACAAACAACTTCGAGCAGTCCCCTTCATCAACAGTCCCTGGACCCAGTAACCTACCTGGTTGGTGCATATGTGGTGTTTGTCGTATAATGCCCTTGGACATAGAAAATAAGTGCTGTGCAAAGCGTACATGTGTTACTAGTTATGAAATGTTCAATAACATTTGTATAGATAGAGAAGTTCTTACACTTGCCATTCGTGCTAGATTTGATATAATGGCAGAAGAAGCAGATTATTCTTCAAATTCGTTTCGTAAAGCTTCCTATCGACAGTACTGCTTGTGGAAATATGGAAAGCTTGGAAGAGGGAATCGCAGAGTTCTTCCGTCTTGTGTTGTTACTACCATACGGCTGGCTTACCCAGCAGCCGATGGTGTTTACATGGGTTATAGAGAGTCCTAGTGTAAAGCTTATAAGTATTTTTTACACAAACAGCATTTATTAAAAAGCTATGACATATGATAGAGTGCTAGAGTGCTCGCACTAAATGAGTGAAATATAAATACTACAAAATAGGTGGTAAATTATTATACAAATTCCTTTGTTTCCTATTGTATATTCAACACTATTTAGTAGAGTGCAAGTCACATAAGCATGAAACAATTCTTAACTATGCAGTGCTAAATAAGATTTAGTTATCAACTAAATAAGAATTGAGAACAATGCTACAAAGAAATTTAAATAATTGGCATTGTGTTTATGCTTTGCTGAATTCTTAGTTAGTTGATAACTAAATCTTATTTAGCAATACATATTAAGAATTGTTTCATGCTTATGTGACGTGCACTCTAGTAATTAGTACTATGCTTCACGCTTTAAGTGCAAGCACTCTAACACTATTTCCATGGAATAATATGTAACTAGTTATTAACTAATAGTTCACATTGTAATTATTATTCACTATTACTCATCTTATGACAAGGTATTACTTCCTTTGTCTTTATTTCCCTTGTATACAGAATGTATGTACACAGACTGTCCAAGTGACTGATAGTGACTGATATTCTTTAAATATGAACTGCAACATAGAGTTTATGCACTAAAAATGTGAAACAAATTGATAATTACTAGTAAAATGTTGATTAGATAGAAAACAAGGCAATGAGCAGAATTTACCACAGTCTGACAATTGTTTTACTATTTTTGTTTCATAGTGCATTCACGCTAGTAACTATTACAAATATTATTTCATGGATATGAANGGTATACAAGGCAAACGAGGTCCCCGAGGATTCCAAGGATCTCCAGGATCACAAGGACGTCCCGGATCTCCTGGTAGTGACGGTAAACCCGGTGCTCGTGGACCCCAGGGGCTGAAGGGAGATGCTGGTCCAAAAGGAGACAAGGGAGATCGTGGACCAAGAGGTCTGTCATCTCATTCCAACTGGAAGGAATGTTCTTGGAAGAATATCGATGATGGCAAGGACAAAGGTCTGATCAAGGTTTGTACGTCATATGAAACAATTAGTATCTTGCTAGTTTTATAGATGTTGTTCAGGTTTTTAATTCAGTTCTCAATGATTTTACTTCAACTATTAACTGAATGTATGATATTTCTAGATTCTCATTGCACTTTATTGATATTTATTTTTTTATTTTTTTTTAGAATTGTTTTTTCCATAAGAAATACAGCCACACCGTACTACATGTCTACTGGAATGGTGATTTCAGAATTTACGGCTGTAACAACTGCTGTAAACGCTGGTTCTTTACCTTCAACGGTGCTGAATGCAAGTCCCCTAACGCCATTGATGGGATACTGCACATGGGAACAGGAAAGAACCAAAACATCCATCGAGTCCGCCATATTGAAGGTCACTGTGACAAGATCCACAAGGGAAAAGTAAATGTAGGTTTCAACGTTGGAAACTGCAAAGGGTACGGGAATGCTGACGCAAGGACAGGATGGAATTCCGTAAGCCGTCTGTTTATAGAAGAGGTGCCCAGGCCACAGAAGTGATCTCGTCCATGACCACCACAGCCAACCCAATGATAATTCAATGCAAGGTTTCTAAAAGAAGATAAAGATGATAATTACTTGATAAAGATAAAATAGTAGGGTTTGTAATAAACCATCAGTGGATTTAGAATAAGTTAATCATCTGTAATAAGGTGTTGGGTTGAATTAAATCATGAATTGATGCAAATTTTTGTCTGGTTTTTATCAACAGTTGGTAATCTAATTTTGAACTGAAAAATGAGAAAAAAGAGAAAAAGAGAAAAAAAAAATGCGAAAAAGGTTGTATGACGAAAGAAAGGGAAAGTGTCGTCAAATGTATTGATTAGTATGAGAAAGAGGGAGACGAAGATGTTGACAGAATGGATAGCCTTACAGATTAAGCTATTGTGGGACGATATAGAATAATTATGTAACACCAAGCCTGATAAGTTTCTTCCTCAAACATTGCTTGACGAGTTACAAAACTACAGCAAACATCGTGACATTGCGTGACAGGGAATATACATGTCGTGACAATATATGTACAATAGCGTGACATGTTTACGAATTCGCAAAGAAATTGCTGCATAAAATGGTCGATCACGACATTGTANGAGCAGAATTTACCACAGTCTGACAATTGTTTTACTATTTTTGTTTCATAGTGCATTCACGCTAGTAACTATTACAAATATTATTTCATGGATATGAAAATAAGTTTTTCTCTGTATTTACTACTTCACTTCACCTTGGTAAAACAGATTTCATTTGAAAAAGTTATCACAATTTTAGTTGGAAATTCATAGGTAAAGTCAATATTTGTCACTACTGTTGACTATTATGTTTCCATAGGTTGTTGTTGTTCAAACTAGTTGCAAGACTCATGACTGACACTGCTTTTGCTTTATTGTCTATTGATTACACAAATTAGACATATAGCAGTACAACAATGTTTTCATTGGAGTCTTAAACAATTTTAACATTCAACATTGTTTTCTATTAATATACAATATAAAATTATTCATATTTATAAACTTTCTATAAGCATAAAAGTTATTTAAACATTCCTCTCATTCATCAATGTCATGGTCTTGATGGTGAGCTCATTTGCTATAYATATTCTAGTATTACACAAATCTACTGTTGTGGTAAAATATATTTGGTCTCCTTTCTCCAAAAAAAACTATTCCAACATACTAACTAATGTAAAGAATATTTTCAGGGAAGAAATRCAGCACAAAACAACATAGATATTTTCTTGTGAAGCAATCTGAGCTAAAATAGTACATGTTTAGGAAAGAAACACCAAAAGTAATATTTACTTTGGTACATCCTTGGATTCCTTTCTCATCCTACCCATTCTTGTTTTGACAAGTTCTGAGGTTGGTGGAGCAGCTCTGAGAGCAATGGTTGGTGCTAGGTTTTTAGGATTTGCAGGTGAAACTTCAATTCTTCTGACAACTGGTYCTGTATCATCTACTTTACGTTTCAACACATCAGCCATGATAACAGTGAGGTAGTCGTATGTCTTTGCTGCTTTCACTGGTTCAGCTCTCCAGTTTTTGGACCGTTTGGAGTACAGCTTATGATACCTGTTTGTGATATCTCGGAATAAATTGAAATTGTGGTCGAGTGCTGCCAGTATGGATCTTGCAGTGAAAATCTCATAACTATATGCACACAAAAAAGTCCATATTCAAATATTAAATGTCTGAGTTGTTCAAATAAATGAGRTATTGGTGTCTGCTAAAAGATACACATTYAAGACTGAGGGCCACTTGGATTTAATAAAAGACCAAGCACAAGGTTTTTAATTTTTCTTGTTTACAAACTTATAAAACCCTTTTTCATTGATTCAATGGAAGAATTCTTTGAATAAGACAAACATTTCAGATTTCTAAAATTCTGAATTCCTAAACAGTTGACTAGATAGCTTGGTAGTTTGTACTCAGTAATAAGAATACTTAGATATCTAAATTTTACTTACGAAAAACCAACTCTCTTTGGTACATATTTCAGCATCATTGAGTGGAAATTYTCAAGTGTACTTGTGTGCCTAATAAATAGAATTATATTTGTAAGCATTCAAAGTAGTTCATAAGTACACACATGTTAATGTATTATACCTAAAGAAGACATAGAACTGAAGACTTCTAAGCCACTTGGGATCGAAGATGATTTTGCGTAATTCAGTGGCGGCCTTGCTGTTCTTAGCTAAAGTTCTTTGGTCGTTTTCTTGCTCGGTCATTGGCCCATGATCACATTCACCTTCCTCCCATTCATGCTCACCGCACACATGGTGAATAATTCCAATCCAGGACTCCTATAATACAATCATCAAAACAATGGTTTTGTACACACCCGATATGTACATCAAAAATCACTAAAAAAGTATATAAACTAATCTATAATGCACTCAATACATTTTCTGCACATTTTGATGAATTTTTGATGGACTGAATGCAATTATAATTATAAGATACAACATTGGTTCTTATCTTGTCCACATACTTTTAGTTTAACAATATCCCCACGACATTGCTCGGCACAGTGCCAGAAATGGTTCCTGACAGGTTGCACCCATTCTTTGAGGAGTTCGCAATCCTTTTTCTTTGCTGCCTGAAATGAATGAAAAATATGTAAATTACTATTTAAGTGTAAGGACATCAAGCAAAAAACATGRAATCAATGCATACTTTAATGACACTGTTGTCTAACCTTACTTATCTTGGCAGTAAGCTTCACAGACTTGTGCCATATGTCCAATGAGTGAAAGATCTCACCCAAAACTTGTGGATTCTTAGCTAGAATGTATGACAATATTGTTGTAATAATTACAATTATTATAATNACAAAGAAAACGAATCGTGTTTTTGGTGATAAAACACTAAACTCAGGTAAGAAGACCGATTGTTACAACTCTAGCAGTATTGTCATTCAGTTTAAAGGCGCAAAAAAGAAATATTTGTGGTCAACGATAATTTTATACTAACATTAAGATAGAGAGTCAAAAAGCAAAAAGCTAACATCAATTTAGTGATTCAAATCGATGAAAAGCCATTTTGTACCCTTTAATTCAACAATGATTGTTAGTAATTATAGTGTATGCTTGACATGAACGAGTGAGAAAGGTCTACAAAGAGTTTTGTTAACCCAGACTTGTTGGTGGCTAAAAATGCAGTAATTGCGCACATGTTGTTTAATACGTGTTTTACTTAAAAGTTTGCTATTGTGAAAATTGGACAGAAAATATGATACTTTTGTTCATAAAGGACTTTTGTAGATCTTCGTGTAACAAAAAGGGATTTTATTTCACCTCCATTCAACTTTAAATTGCCTTAAAAACCTTCAATAGCCAGCATCTGATTGATAATGGCTGATATAAATATATCATATCAACTGATGTTTTTATCTTTTAATCTATCAGAATAATGAAGCCTTTGATGGTTGTGATGTTGATATGCGTGGCTGTTTTACCAGCCATCAAGTCATCGACCAACAAAACTCCTGTGAGATACGTAAGTACTGTTAAACCTTTTATCAAAGATATTTTGTAGTTCACAATACAGAACCCTAATAAACTGAACAAGAACACGTTCTGTGTGATACGATTTAAACGGGTTGCGGTCACAGGACAAGCGACAATTTCCTCAAAAGAGTGTTTTATTACTAGACTCGTATTAATTGCTTTGTTCTCAAAGAGTCATTTATCAAATAACAATCTTGACTTTTAAAGAGAAACAACAATAACAAAATGACAAAAAATTCCACTCGTCAAAGCGTTTTTTTTACTAATGCAGCTGAAGAGGATAATATTTTGAACAATTCTGCAAAGGTAGATCAGTATATTACCCCCCAAAAACATAAAGAGAATTCAGTAGAGTTTTAAGCATAAAAATCGTCAGTTAAAGATGAGTCAGCTTTTAGAGAA